ACAGTGAAGAAGAAACGATGATTCAGTGAAGTCATGGTAGCTTTGGAAAGCTGCTTTTGACGTAATACATAAACCTCAACAGTTATTAGATCAACATTTTGATAGTCTTAGCAGCGTTTTTTTTTATCTTTTGGTTGCTTTTTCAAAATGCTAATAACTTCAACTACTTCAAATAATAAAGGCATTTTGAAAAATCAATTAAAAGATAAAAAACGCTGCTAAGACTATCAAAATGTTGATCTAATAACAATTTGACATTTATACTATTATGTCAAAAGCAACTTTTTCCCAAAGCCTACCATGACTTCACTGAGGCATCGTTTCTTGTTCATTCTTATTAATATCTTACTTATTAGATATTAGTACATCTGGTATTATGGTATTCTGGTATTTCGTCGATTTTAAAATAAACTAAGTGTTTCTATCTTATTTTTTGTTAGAATGAGCATAATCAAGAGGGCTACTGATACCGTGTTGTAAAAATAAGATAATTAAGGACTTATTTTTTGGTATTTATTATAATTTTGCTTAATATCTTCGGTTTGAAAGAAGATATTAAGATGCGGTTTTCGCTGACTTTTTAACTTTTACTACTCTTTACTATGAGCTAAAATTACATATACTATCGTATTTAATTTGTTTGAAAAAACGCGATTTGTTTGTTAAATTGTAAGAAAGCGCCCCCTAGTGTCAACGTTCAAAACCTTATTACTATTATTTTTATGGTATAATATAGAGTAAGAAACGCTCTTTTAAACGAGCCCTGTTTGTTGGATTTTGATCATCCAGAGAGAGGGAGAGAGTCCGGAGTTATTAACATTTAAATAAAGACAGATCTAACCTTCCGCCACCACTTTATTTTAGCAGATAGTGGAAAATGGTTCTAACAAGAATATCCTAAATTTACTGAAGATTATGAAGCTATTATTTATAGAATATCATATCTAGGCAATATTCTGTAAAAAATCTATTTTCTTATTTTCCATAGCAGTTGCGCCCTCTAGCGGCCGTTTTACAAACTTGAAAATAATTTCCAGCAATTTCTCATAGCCTCTTTAGTTATAAATATTTTTTTTCCGTAGGCCCTACGGCTAATACTTTCCGAGATACAGCCGATACAGCTATTCTTAGTGGGACACCCTGTACGTTTAACAAATACAATTAATACAATGGTTAAGAACAGAATGACAATGTAATCCAAAAAATCATTGCGATGACCAGAATTGTAGTGGCAATGCTAACGAAACTCCATAAAAGGTTGAAGTTCAGATATTTCATGAATATTTATTGACTTAATATCGATAGGTTGATCTCCTTTTAAGTTTTCTGGTCCAACGTAGATTTTTGGTAAGGTAAAGGGCATTCCCTGAATTATTTCTTCTTTATTGATGAATTAATAGCTTGATACTGAATACTGATTGATGAATTAATAGCTTAATTCACAGTTCGGTTCGATTTCTATCAGGCTTGGATCGCTGATAAATTTATTTTCTTTTTCATCACCACACTGCTGCTGGATTTTCAATGGTTCTTCAGTAGGTATTGCGACAATATATTTGTTGTTGATTGGTTTTATAATTGGGTTCTTGATGGACGTTTTTACTGTATGGCAGGAGTGGATTTCGGCATCTTTGATTAGTGTCGATTGTAGATGGTTCATGCCAAGTGTAAGGAAAGATTGGTTTAGTAAAATTACCGATTGATTGATGGGAATAGGTGAAATGTATCGAAAATCTCTTTTAATGATATTGGAAAATGAACTGAAAATATTATTTTATTTTAAACATAACATTTGGATCCTGGAAAGAAAGTAGGCGGATTTTCGCTTTCTCATTTCTCTTCCGAATAGTCTTTTCTTTTGAATTATTACTTTGTTCGGTAATTTTATTACAAGAAGTTTTAATTTTTCTTTTCTATCGGAGGTTACAATTGGTTAACAACTGCCTAACAACTATTGGTTAACAATAATGTCGTCTGTAAGGTCGAAAGGGTCGATAGATTTTAATCGTCCGTGTATAATATCAAACGGTTTTTGTTTGGTGACACTGTGCACAGACGAATTGTAACATAAAATTGCATATTGCATGGTTTGTTTTATAGATAAATTTTCGTCTTGAAGTTTTAATACTCTACAATTTTCTAAGAGCGATGAATGAACTCTTTCAATTGGACTATTACTGTTTGGTTTGGTTTGTTTGGTTTACCAGCTCAAAGCGTAAGGAAAATGATTCCCGCCCGGTTTGAATCTGGAATTTCACAAGCATGACTGCATCAGTTTGAATGGTTGTGATACTGCGATGAGGAAGGCCACGGGAAACCACCTCATTATAATTTCCCAAGCAAATCACAATGGCTATACATAAAAGGAAAACGGCCCCTATTCTCCGGCAGGTCTTAAATGACCAAGGGGTGCTAAGAATCCCCGGAAGGAAAAACTTTTGTAAAATAAATAAATAAAATAAATAATACTTTATTTATTTATTTATTTATATTTATTTAAATAATTTTGAGTTCTTGTTCTTATGATCAAGCCAAGTATTAACTAGATAGGCACTGCTTATCAATTTTACTCCATCTGAAAAGTATTATAAAATAAAGTTCGTAGCAAGCAGACGCAGGTGAACTATACAAAAATTAAAAGTGTATGAATATGACAACAAAAATATTCAATAAATACGATATGTTTTGATATGTTTTTTTTAAATGCCTTTATGAAGTTTGAAAACGTAAAATTTTGATACCCATTTAAGCATCATCTTAACTAAATAAATAAAAACTAAACAATCACGAACTTGTTTAGAAATAAATTTAAAGTACATACCTTGTTTAACAATATCCATAGTGGCTTTCAATTAAGTACGTACCGTTTAACTCCATAATATACAGAGCTACTATGAATGTTATTCTTTTCACTGATAAGATAATGATCGCAAAATGTATTTTTAGTGAAAATATTTGCTAACAAAAAACGCTGTTTATGAAAAATAATATACAGGATGTGGTTGAACATTGATATAACTATAAAATTACATATTCAGATATTAGTAAATTTTAACTTTTTTTTCGGTTTTTGTCCATGGGACGAAGCACTGTGCGCCGCGCCGTGTAACGGTTATTAACCAAACCAAACCTTTATACATTGTTGGGCAAGGCTAAACTAATAATTTTTTCTGAAATTTTTTTCTAAAATATTTTAATTCCTTTAGAAAACGTACCTACTTGCATACTCAAATTAATTTATATATTTGAGATCAAATAAACCCTTTGTCACGTGATTAAGCTTGACCGGTACAGCGTTGCCCTCTTTTACATATTTCCTTTTAATCAAAATATTTTAGGAAACAAAAAGAAATGAATTATAAATATATAAGCACTTATTATTTACATCAACAAAACTCACCTCCTTAACAGCACTTAAGGGACATAAAGGGCCATTACTAGCTTTCCCGTTCAAAATATTCTAATAAAATTGCGGCTATCTTGTACACTTCGTACTAAAAGAGGTTCTAAAAAGAAAACTATTCGACTGCAAGGTCCGCTAGTAAACATTTTTTAGCTTAAAGCAGGGTTGCCACCCGTCCCAGTTTTGTCGGGACAGTCCCGATTTTGATCCAAAAGTCCCACGTCCCCACCCAAAGCCCTAATGTCCCGATTGTTATTAGTTTAGCCACGTACATTTTTATTAAACCATAATATTGTAAAAATTATTAAAAAATATGTTTATTACTTTCGTTTAATTTAAAAAATTCCACAAATTAATTAAAATCGTAGAATTTTTAGAATTAAAAGATGTAGATACTGATACTCTTTAATGGAGTATAAAAAAATTATAGATAAAAAAATAAAGTAAAACACATACCTTAATTGGTTAAGGTTTTACTTACATAGTACATCTAATGTTTATGTGGAAATAATATTTTCACGTATGATTTTGAAGTAGACAGACACTAGAAATAGATGTTCAATTAAGCTCTTCAGAATGGAACTTCAAATCTTATTTAATTTTAATATGACCAGTATGGAATTCTTGGATTTTATTAAAAATGACAAGGCTCTTATTATTACAGAAACAAAACGAAACAAAAAATATTCATTACAGTTGGGTACGAAACTTTTGGTGTTACAACAGCAAAATAAAACACTAATTCACCACAATACACCAAAACACTTTAATTTTAACAGTGGACGCGCGTTTCGTTAACCATGAATTTGAAGCTAACCATCAGTTTTCATCATCTACTGATGATGCTAACATGGTTAGCGAAACGCGCGTCCAAGGTTAAAAATAAAGTGGTGAAGCTTGGTGTGCTGTGGTGAATTAGGGTTTTATTTTGGCAAAAAACAAGCATTTAAAATTAATTAAATAAATTAATAAAGTCAATTATACAGCTGAAACTTTTGCTCTAATTATTTTAGATTTAATTGATTGTTTACTTATTTTGTTTTCAACGTTTCTTTTTTATTTTTACATAATTATTTATCAATTTCTGATACCTTTTTTAAGTCAAGGCAAAAAGGCGTTAGATATTGTTTCAAAATCCCATGGGCACATAATATTTTATATTTAAGAAAAAAGAATGCGCCATGCCAGTGCTGTCCTGATTTTTTAAACACAGAAACTGACAACCCTGGCTAAAGTATCACACCACTATTTATATAAACCGAAAACTCGTAACTCAAAACTAAAGTGTCAAAACGAATGACAGTGTCTGGAAATAAATAAATAAATAAATGTGGAAATTTGACATTTTTTACACCAGGGCTACCACCTGAATCCCCAGCGGGAAATTTAAATACCAGTTATTCAGCGCCGGGCTATCCGGGCTATTCCATGGTTGGCCCCCCAACAATGAATTTCAAAATCGCCCTCTCTACTACGTAATTAAAAGTTTAATTGGTATCAAATATAGTTGTTATTCATAAAGACTAGAATCACTATTTTGACTGTAATTATTGATTGAAATGCAAAGTGAATAACTAAACTAAGAGAGATAACTAACTAAGAAAAATCGACATAATATATTACAGTAAAAATAACTTTAAATAATAATTTTTTTAATAAAATATTAACGCTGTGCTACAAAGTATCCGGTTACGAGTCCAAATATCACTGCTAAACTTAACCATCCATTATAAGTCATCACTATAGCCATAAGAAAATAACCAATAGCAACTTGAAATGCTTGTAACAGCGTTTGAATAATATGAGCTGAACTTAAAATAGTCACCCTAAAAAGTATTTCTTCAGTGTTTTAGTAACAGTAGGCAGTAAAATCTTACCTTTTTGTATGTTTAGCTCTGAGGTAGTCCCTAGAAATAATTAAGTTGTAATAATAAATTGTAATATTTACATATAGTTTCTTTTATTCTATTATTTATATTATGTTTGGGTGGATATTTTTTTAACGTGTGTACAGGGTTCTTCTTTTATACAATCCCATCGTTAAAGGTTATACTTTAGCATTTGATTTAAATCAAGTACAAATTTATTTATTTATTTATTTACACTTTACAAACACCTATTAAGGTAACTGCATGTAAAAGCCAAAAAAATACAAAATATAGTTACAATTACTTAAAATTAAACAAAATAGACATGTATTACAAAAAATGCAAAATATATAAATAACATAACATTTAATTTATAAAGTATGTAAGAACTGATGATCGCGTGCTAAGTAAGGGCAAGAAAAAGAAAAATAAAAACAACAGAGCTAACAATCTTGCTCGGCAATATATTACACTGCTCTGACAAAATTCATTAGTCTTTTCAATTCCTTTGGGTTAATATTGAAGAAATCGATATTGTTCTTAATTTTGAAAAAAATATTACTGTTCCGGCACATATTTATAACAGGTGATGATCTACAATGATTGGTGCAAAAAAATATCTGAGCTTAACAAACGTAGGTTAGATTTCGAACTCTAAAATTTATGAAATTTATCATGTAACTGTCCCTGTGTTTAATATTATTCACAATATTGTGTACAAACCCAACAGACATTAGGGGAATTTCGCCTAAAATAACATACTTTTTAGAATAAACTCTCACTTTTTTATTTTACAAACGACAACAACCAGAATAGGAACAAATAACATAGGAACATTTATCAAGTTAGTATAGGAACAGTTACTGACTTAAACAAATACAAACATATTTAAATTAATAATCTTAACCTAATATACTCTATGTCATTTTAGGCACATATACTCGGATAAAATGACATAGGAGTAAACACTGCAAAAATAAACTCATTTTTATCACATACATCGACTACTATGTTGAAGATCAAACACATATATCACAAGTAAACATCTTAGCTTTTGATCTATTCCGCGCGCATTCAATGTGAGACCATTTCATGCATGACTGGCATTTTACCCACATTTCCATACAGGTTTGGATCGCGAATAAAGGTCATTGCAGTAGATGCAAGCAACCTCATCGTTGTCGTCGCTAGTAGTGGAAAATGATCGTGATTTTCTTCATTTTCTGTGTCTTGAAAACGATTCATTATATCGAGCGACACTTTTTGTCTCTTAGACCTAAATTTTTCGTCGGTATTTTTGTTTTCTGCCTTCTCTTTAATTCATCTAAATTTGGTGTTGAAGTTAAAACCAACGGACATTGACTTCTTCTCTTTCTTTTTGTTTTATTTCCACGGCTTTTGGAGTGGGCTTTATCTCTTCTAGCCTTACTATCTGGTATCCTGTTTCTTGTTCTGAGTTTGTCGATTGTTGAAAAGTATCCATTTCTAATGGATGCTTTTCAATTTGATTTTGCAAACCTGAACATCCAGGTTCAGTGAGATCAGTTTGATCTGATGGTTCTTCTAAGACCAGGTTCGTGACATCAGAAGGAGAAAACATCTATTCCGGAAAATGTCTGGATTTGGAGGGTAAATGCCGGTGGTTTTAAAGCCACTAACTGCATTGCCCATAACAGCTGCTTTTTCATAGGCTTCCGAAAATAGTTGCCCCCAAAACTTGAAACGCCGTCACTGTTCTGGCCGGATTTGCCTTCATCCATTTGGTAATTGCTTGATTATAGTAGTTTGATAAAGGTCCAAAAAAACTTACGTCTATAGGCTGGATACGGTGAGTACAGTGAGGTGGTGTGCATAGCAAAACAACACCATGTCTCTTCGCATATTCTAGAGCTGGTATATATTTATGACTAGAATGACCTTTCCTTTTGAAATTTTAGATGGTCTTTGCACCGTTGATAGTCCTGACTCATCCATATTATATATCCTCTCTGGTGGAATTTCATTATCCCTTATTATATTTTCTAAAATGTCGAAGAACGTTTTTACTTGCACTCTGTTAAACGCTGAAGCCCGGGCTACTGACGTAGCTTCCGGCTGTCTAAGCAGTATGTTAGAATTTCTCTTCCGGAACCCATAAAGCCAATCCCATCCAGCCATTTTATTCTCTTTATTGAAACGGTGTGCTAAATTATTCTGCTCTGCAAATTCATAAGCTAAGTGACGGAGTTCATTAGTTGTTAAACCGTAAAATTGTTCTTCGACTTTTTTTATGTAATTCACAAATTCTTTTTCCTTTTCGGAAAAGTAGTGTCCCATCTTCCAAGACCTTTATCTGATCCCTTAATACGTTTATTTACATTCCGGCACCTATGTCTCAAAGTGGCTTGAGGGATATTAAATCTTTTGGCTGCAGCTAGCCAACCCATTTCCCCTCGTTCGATGGACTGAATCGCTTCTTTCATGTCATTTTGACTCCACTGTTGTCTATCTGACTTTCGTGAGTAGTTTCCCACCATCTTTGGAAATAAAAAAAAATTAAACTTAAAATGACATACTACACACACCGGAAAAGTCTAGGGATATTACAATTTTATCCAGCCATCGTCAGTATTTTTATTATTTGCATTTCTGATATAATAAAATTAAAATAAACAAATAGTTTACAGGACGTATTGGAAATAAAAATGCGAAGTTTACCGAATTTTTCAAATTTACCTTGATTTTTATGGAACTCAAAAAACACACATTTTTTTAATTCTAAACTGTGAATTAAAAAAAAAGATAAACCATTTTACTTAATAAAGGGTATAGTCTCCTCTACTGTTCATTATAGCCCTACATCGTCTCTCCATGCTCCTGATCAGGTTGTCGATCTCTCTCTGAGGTACAGCCTGCCACGCTGTCTTCACGGCCCGAACCAGTTTCCTACGAGTTTCACGAGGCATACCCATTCTCAAAATTCTTCTTTGGACCGCGTCCCATACGTGCTCGATGGGGTTGAGGTCAGAGATTGTGTCGGTTGTGGGTAAGATGTTTAATTGATGAGCATTGATAAACTCACTTACCACTCTGGCTGTATGAGGCCGCATTGTCATGCATGAGAATGAAGTTTCTCCCAAAATCATTGGCATATGGTGACACGACAGGCTCAAGAATTAAATCACGATATGTGATTCTTGTTAGAAACCTTTCAAGAAAACGAGATCGGTTTTTCGGCCTAACTGACTCCTCCCCAGACCATAACTGTTCCACCTTGATAAGGGTGCACTTCCTGAACATGATCCAACCGAATAAGATTTCCCTTCTTCTCCATACCCTAAGCCTTCTCGAATCCGGATGAATTCCAAAGCGTGACTCATCCGTGAAGATAACATTGGCCCATTGTTCATTCGACCACTGAACATGATCTTGAGCCCACAAATATCGTACTTCTCGATTTCCTCTCGTTAAGGGTTGAGCTCTCCAGGGGCGTCTGCTTCTTAAGTTGAGCTCTTTAATCTATTGCGAACAGTGTCAGGACTAACGGTTACATTATGTGTTTCCTGGAGAATTAAACTAAGCTCTGGTGCTGTAAGAGTCAGTCGGACTCGAGCATTTAATTGTAAAAAATGATCTTGCTGAGGGGTATATAGTAATGCGATGTCGCCCTGTGTGCCTTTCAGCAACATCACCACCTTCACGGTAGCGTGCACTTAATCGCGATATGCACTTTGCGTTGTATTTAATCCTCTAGCTACGTCGATTTGGCGCATTCCAGCTTCAAGCATACCCATGGCCCTTAGCATTTCGTCTCTGTTAAGATGTCTACGCCCATAATGTCGTTTAATACTAAACAGTGTTATTTGAATGAATTCTGGCCAGTTATCATAAAAACATAGCCAGTACAGGTTAAATTCGAACAATTGATGCTAGGTGCTTTTTTACATTTGATAAAAAATGCACAAACACTTCTGAAAATATTCCAAATTCAGAAATAATTAGTGTGACTACTTGTTTCAATCGAAGTAGAAAGAATCGGCTCTACAAATATGTGGTTGTTTATTCAAAACATTTATTTCTAACTTTAATAAAATGATATCCCTAGATTTTTCCGGTGTGTGTGTATGTCATTTTAAACTGATAAGCCCTATGTCGTATTACCCATAAATACATTGGCAGCATTTAATTGTTCTAATTTTTCACAAAATATAATTATTAGATTCATTAGCATTGGAAATTCAAGATAACGGATGGAACTTACCTGCCTTGTAATAATAACTTCCAAGAAAATTAAGATTAACTTAAAAATACGAAAAACGGAACTCGTACTAAAAAACTGCTTCTGACTCAAAACACATATACTCGTCTAAAAGCTACAAGCCAACTGATTGACATCCCGTATTAAGTGTGTCACGTGACGCACATGTGAGGAAGAAGTAGAGATAGAACAACACCAGTAGTATCGCGGGAAATTTGAATTTGGGCAGTATGTCATTTTACCTGCATATGACATTTTAAGCGAAATTCCCCTATATTCCTTCTAACAGCCAAAGACAGTATGTCTCCAACGTTGACATACATATATGAAACCATATATGGATTTAATTTGAATGGTTGTCTCGGACCTCGTCTCGGACAAACATATCTTTAGCACTTTTTCTATGGACTCAGCACTCAGCATACTCTTACTATTACAGCATACTCTACATGCGGAAATCTCAAACTCTCTGGTGTCTTTTATAACAGAACCCAACAGTTAGGACCTTATTAATAATAGAAAGGTAATTGTTATTATTTCAAGTTTCTCTGGAAAGAACCACCTAGATCCCTAACTTCTGATTTTCTGTCTATCTTAAAAGTATCAACGCTGTAATCAAAAGTGTTAACATTTATTTTACGTGTATACGATACTACTGAACACTTATCTATATTTAATAACATTTTGTTATCATAGAACCATTTACAACCATTCAAGTCTGACTGCAGCTTTACCCAGTCCTTAGTTGTTGTTAGGGTTCTATATACAGTATACACTTTTCCAAAAAATTAACGCACCACTTTGACATTCAAAGATAATTTGATGTTATTTTAAAACAGACCCGGTATATTTTTTCCCAGAGAGGAATTCCTACCTTCAGTTTATATTTTGTATAGTTGTTGTCCCGATATATGCCAATTTTTTGTTAACTTTTTTTTAAAGAATTCACAAATAAAAAAAAAGAAATAAATGAATTAGTTCTCAGTATTTCTAAAGCACTTCCTGCTTTACTTTGTATTTCTTTTCCAAATCTCCATTAATTTTTAATTATTATGGAACGTTCCAGTCGAAATTTAACTAACGAAGAATGCGCTCAAGCTGTGGTGTTGTCGGAAGAGGGCTGGAACTTCCGAAGAATTGGTTTTCGATTTGATGTAAATCATACTTTATTTCACGGGTAGTACAAAGAACACCAAATCAAGACAGATTTTTAAGAATTCTGGCTCTGAGACAGCGTTTTGTCACTTGCCATAGCTTACAGATTCAACTGCGTGAGGTCCATGGTCTGTAAATTAGTGCTGAAACAGTTTGATTACGATTAAGAGAATCTGATTTAAGACCAAGAATTGCTGCTCGAGGTCCTGCTTTAACCTGTTTTGCCAGAGAACACGTAAATTGGTTACAGGCTGATTGGGAAAGTGTGCTATTTACAGATGTGTCCCGATTGTGCCTGTACAATAATTATAGACGTGTCCGTGTTTTTCGACGACCCAATGAACGTTATGCCCAATGCAATTTCTCACAAACAATATTATTTGGAGGAGGGTCAATTGTGGTTTGGGGAGGAATTTCTTTGACGGCGGGTACAGATCTAGTGGTCATAAACAATCGAAATTTAACCGCTGAGCGGTACATACAAGACATCCTACAATAACATGTAGTTCATATTGCACCATATATCGGTGAAAATGTTTGGTTAATGCAAGATAACGCCAGACCGCCCATTGCACGAGTTGTCAGAAATTATCTAGACGAGGGCCAAATTGACACCTCGGCTCGTAGTCCAGACCTAAGTCCTATTGAAAACCTCTGGGATATCTTAAATAGGCGGTTAAGATCAGAACTACCCGAACCAATCAAACTGGAAGCGTTGGGTGAGAGGCTAATGCAAATCTGGGAAAATTTGGATCAAGACACAATAAGACAGCTTATTTTAAGTATGAATCAACGATATTAAGATTCGTGCCAGAGGTGGAATCGCTCGCATCTGAAAATGTTTTTGTCAATTTTGTTTTTATACGGCTAATTGCGGAATTGTTTCTTTTTATAATTTCGGGATTATTCTTAAGATTAAACAAAACTTTATCCATTGTAAAACCTAGTAATAAGAAGCAGTTTAACTATAATTAACTTTACTATATGTCGATTTTTTTAACATCAATAAACCTGACTTAATAATATGGTGCGTTAATTTATTGGAGAAGGTAGTTTAAAATCGTCAGCATATGGCTCGATGACTGTGAGACATAATTCGGCAGATCGTTGATAAATATTACAAAAAGTAGCAGCGGTCCTAATTTGTTCCCTTGAGGGACAGCCGACAATATGCTATATGGGTTAGAATTAATTTTCCCTATCTTAACTACTTGTTCTGTTATATAACATTTAATTTATATGCATTTCTTCAGATAAAATTTTAGTTGGAATTGACTTGGTTTGACTAATTTTAAATAGTATTTTACATCCAATTTTCTACATATTATTATATTTGTATTTAACTAAGACTTTTAAATCAGTTGTAAAATCAAATTAGATTCAATCTTTAATCCCAACCCTTTAGGTTTACCATTGTATTACCCTTATCCTTACTAAACCATACTTATTTTCGATAGTTGTGAAAGTACATATTTATTAACAAGAAAAAGCAGAATCGACATTGCGTGTAACCAACTGTTGGTTTATGTAGAGCAAATAGCAAATAGTTGTTAATGTTAGAACAAATAATAGCTCCTATTTTAGTGTATCAAAATTTGGCAAAAATGTAGGATGTCATCGGGCTCGTGCTTGGTCTCAGAAATAAATCCTAGATACTTAAAAATCGGAGTAGTTTCAGGATGTGATAAAGGTTTTGCCGTTCTTGAGTTATAAATTACTACGACTACGTTTTATTTATATAGATTATTTTCTATTCAGAAATTAAAGAATTATATAAATTAATTTTTCGATAGGTGTTTTAAGTACATATTATTAATTTACCTGAGATACTTTAATGCTGAACAACTAAACGCCAGTATAAATACTCCTATTATGGATACCACCAATCCAAGTGTACTGTCAAATTTCCAGGCTTTGAACAGAACTGTTGCGGATTTTGAAAACTCGAACTAAGTAAATGTAACTACTAATACATATTCTAATTTGATAAAGTTTTATATGTACTTACATACATAGGCATTTCCATATCCATTTCGAATGATTAGTTTTATAGAAATTTAAATGTAATAGCAAATGACTATACAAGATATTTTCAGAATAACTACTATTGATTTTGTTATCATCCAAGCCTGTTACAATCACTAGATTGATAATTAAACACTTGAAGATTGTTCACTTTAACTATCGATTCTATTGTTATTACTATACAGAGTGATTCAGTGCTAAAAGTGCTGAAAAACAGCCATATGAATAGTTATCCTCTTCAAGTTTGCACTCTTTTCGCTCTTTTTATTAATTGCCTGAATTGGCAGTTTTACTACCCTGCTATCATAAAATATTTTAACTTTCTTACAGGGGCGAAATTTTCGGTGAAACAGGAAGTGACCAAAAACAATTGAATACATCAATTAATCCTAATTTATGTCATATACTAACATACCAAATTTCGTTGTTTTATCTGAAAAAATAAAAAAAATTATAGGGATGGGCCACTTTTGAGACGCACCCGGAATATTTCAATCAATGTTGATCGCTCCATAACGTGCTGATAAATTTGAATCGCTCTATACATATCTACAAATTCATTTACCTACTAGTAGATATAAAAAGCATTTTTGGTAAACTCTGTCTCAAATAGTTTCTAAAAAATAAAATTAATTTTCATACAAAAGTCCGATTAAATTTATATCACAGATAACACATAATTAAATTAATTATATGTTATCTGTGTTTATATCTCCGAAACTAAAGTTCCAAGAAAAGTCGTAATATATCTACACATTCATTTACCCACTAGCAGATATGGTAGTGGCACATAGTAGGCACACAGTAGGTAGCATTTTTGGTAAACTCTGTCTCAAATAGTTTCTGAAAAATAAAATTAATTTTCTTAAAAAGGTCCGATTAAATTTATATCTCCAAAACTAAAGTTCCTAGAAAAGTCGTATATTGAGAATAAAATTTTTAAAATCTGTTACCATAGCCTGCATATTTAAAAAAAACGTTAAACTTTTAAACAGGAAAACTGGAAGACTACTTTTTTGGAATAATGGGTGGCCCTGTATACCTACTTATAAAAGTAAAAGTTTGAAAGCATAAATATGTAGGTATGTTAATGTAGTTAAATTTAAGTTAGATAGAAAAAAAGATGTCTACACTAAAGTTTTAATACATTTATTTTCACAAAAGAAATAATTGAAATTTACATTTATTACAGTGATATTTCTTAATATATTACAACAGAAAGAAATACAACAATAGTTTTTATTTCAATTGCAGAATAATATTATCGATAGTATTGTTTTAAAATAGACAGATAAATTGAATATAGTCTGTCCAACAAGCCAGGGAAGATTTTGACTGATGACATAAAAAAATGGCAGAAAATACAATTTACCTGTGAATTATGACAGACACAACTGTCGCTGTCATGGATTCTCTTGTTGAACAGACTATACAGTACAGTGACTTTTATTTTAATATAGTTTCAGTTAAAACACCTATATTACATTATATAGCTTAAACTTTATATTTTAACTATATCTAATAAATTAAATAACAATTTATTATCACAGAACAGACTAGTTTAATTAATTGTAAAATTCTAACTACATATATTACTAATTATTGACGTGAAATAATACAAATTTGACACATATAATTCTGGAGTCTTGAACTATAACTTTAATAAAAATTATTGTTAACTGTTGCTTTACAAAATATTATTTAATTCAGTATATTTATAATTGTAAATCCAAAAATCAGAATAGAATTAATTATACAATATTTCTTGACTACACATCTAATTTCTGAAATATAACAACTTGTTGAATTCTTGTTCAGTTCTTAAAATATAATTCAAAATTCATAAAAAGATGTTTAAAAAAAGTAACATCGAATCATGTAAAAAATATAATTAGTACTTTTATAATTTCTATTACAAAATACAAATCTATAGAATTATTAGAATTAATAGAGAGTGGTTAGTTTCAAAAAACGTCATATAAATTATGCTAATACAAACATACCCTATGGTCAAGAAAATGGCATCGTAGTGACTTTTTAAGTGGCTATGAATGATTATTTCCGTCAGAACTTTATGCCATTTATTAAAAATTGACAAAAACATTTATCAAAAACTAATATTTAGTTTAGAACAAAAAAAGAAAGGAGATTTAAATCTCAAATCTATTTAACAAAAATATTGAATAAATTTGACTTAACTAATTGTTAATATTAATTTTTGAATCAATTTTTCATATCAATTAATAAATGATACAAAAGTTTGCACCCGATAGAAGTTATCATCGATTGTCATCTAAAAGGCTACTCTAAAGGTTTGGTTTAGCAGTTCTAGGACTGTATGATCTGAATTGAAGATCTAAACTTTGTCAGGCGATACACAATGCAGTTACGTCGAACGATGCAATCTTCAGTTTTGGGACTGTCAGTTTTTGAGCTGCAGGAAAACTGTGCCTTCGCCCCACCCACGGAGGAATAAGAGAGGGGAGACTCTACAGCTGTTGCGAAAAGAGGTTCACCTAGCCGCCCGCCATATTTGATGTGGTCCTTTTTGTAATTTGTGCATATTTCTCAAAATTTAATGTTTTTCATCGAAAATTTGAGTGATTTCGATTACAAAAACCTTAAAAACCATGGTGTCGTGTGCTGTACGCAGTTGTAAGAGCAGGAAAGGTATCGACTCGTAGAAACTTATCGGCGTAACATTTCAGAGGTAACATAAAGAGCGCGCAGGTCCGTAATGACCAAATTAACGAATGAACATTAATTAGTATTTTATGCCTATTTTAACTTTGGTATAGTAATGCCAAGTAATTTGTTCATTGCGATACACACGATTAATATTACACAATGATTTTACATTAGCTCAAGGCAAATTTTAATCATTGTTTGTTTTTATTATTTGAAATTTAATCAGGTCTGCACAAAGAGCCCACTTTTGGCCCCGCCCAAACAACGAAGTGAGACTGTTTTTATCCTACAGAAATACGTGTAGTAGCATCTTCCCTCTCTTATTCCTCCATGGCCTTCACCACACACACAAACATATCGTCAGTTTTAATCAAATGACCTTTCTGATAGTCTCTGAAGTGAAAAATGTTTTTAAATAATAGCTTACTTCGGGTTTCTCTTATTACCGATTCTTAACCGTCCTAGAACTGTGATTCGTATGCGCAGAAGGAAATATGAAGACATTATTTCATTTGCGCATGCGCTGCAGAGTTCTAGAACGGTTCAGAATCGGTAATAACAAGAACCCGAACAAAGCTAATAACGCTAGGAAAAAAAAGTTAGTCGCACTTCTCGTGATTTTGTTATAGCAAGAGCCGATTTCAAAGATAAAAGAGCGTTTCCGAGTGAAAGGCGAAAGCCCAAACAGACAACCATAATGGATCCATAGAATATACAAACATAATGTGAATGGGCACCTTAACAAGGTTTATTTTTCAACCACAAGGTGCCCATATGGTAGATCATAAGTTGAAAATGATGTCTACTAGTGTTTTCAAAAATAAAAATTTCAGAGATTCTTTTGAGATATTGATCAAGAATTAAATGTCAGGTCTCAGAAATTCTGTCAACATTGAATTGGGAAACATAAAATTTGCTTTTGTAGCGTAAACACAGATAATAATATTACACAGGCCGGCATATAAAACTATGTATAAATAATAATAAAAATGTATAAATATTATAATTACATTATTTGTATTTATTATGTTATATACAGGGTGTTTCAAAAAACATGTGCCACAAAAACATGTTAAAGTCTTAATATTTTTTCGATTTATTATAATTTTCTTCCAAGTACTTACTTTTAGTGTTTCCAATGAAATTTTGAGGGTAAAAGTTACTATAAATACGACATATCTTAAAGCTAAAAAAGTGTCGATATATTCACCATGGACGTCCATATTGCATATGGGTTACCACTGGAATATTTTTCTAAAAAAGCATGTACTCCACTGACATTTTTTTCTTTTGTTGGCGAAATAGTTAAGCAGTTTAATGCCGATTAAAAGTTGTCTCTTGATATTTTGTCGAGTTAATGAGGTAAACGCAATTTTATTAATTTGCCTTCATCCAAGTCTAACCGCAACCTTTTAAAAAATTTGACAATAAATGATAATTGCCAAAGTTTTAAATAAGTACTCATTGATTCCTCATCAAAAATATGAAAAAAACTTTTAAAAACCTATAAATATGGGTGTGGAAACGCATAGTTTTAGAAAGTTATTCAGGAGTATGCCACGCATCACGACTATCGGAAATTCTTCGAGGCTGTAAAAGAAGTATACGGTCCAACTAAGAAGGCAAGATGCCCAATCATGGCACAAAATGGCGAACTTCTAAAAGAGGAAGAGCAAATCAGAAACCGCTGGAAAGAGCATTACAGCCATATCCTTAACCAAGAAAACAACCCCAATATGGAAGCACTCAACATAATACCTCAGTATAACAGCCTCGATGTATTAGACATTCCAATAACAGAACAGGAAATAAAGGACTCCATAAAACAGCTTAAAAACAACAAATCAGCTGGCTGTGAGGCGATTCCGGCGGAAATCTATAAGTGTGCAAGTAAAGAACTTATTGGTCATCTTAAGGCTCTCTTTGATGTCATATGGGAAAGCGGAGAGGTACCTCAGGACTTTTGCAACGCGAATATAGTGAATATATTTATGAACAAAGGAAGTGCATCAGACTGCGGAAACTACCGAGGAATTTCACTACTGGCTATCGGAGGAAAAATTCTTGCAAAAATTATGTCAAACCGCCTGCACCCACATATAGAAAATATCCTCCCAGAATCGCAAACGGGTTTTCGCACCAACCGCGGTACCGTCGATTCCATATTCTCCATCCGGCAACTACAGGAAAAAGTAAAAGAGCAGCAGTCTAAACTTTACGTTGCATTCATTGATCTAACTAAAGCCTTCGACTCTGTGAACAGAGATGCACTTTGGGCAATTATGAAAAAGTTCGGAGTACCCATCAAATTTCTTACAGTGTGTAAAAGCCTCCATAACAGCAACAAATCAAGAGTGTCATATCATGGATCACTGAGCGATCCATTCCTAACAAACACAGGCGTTAGGCAGGGATGTGTCTTAGCGCCTCCCCTATTCAATATATTCATGGCAGCGCTCTCCATTATAGTGGACAGCAAACTGCAGGAGAGAGGTTTGAGCATTAGATATAGATACAGATACGACGGCGGTCTGTTCAACATAAAAAGACTCAGGGCAAAAACACGTACAAAATTCATCACAGAACTTCAATACGCTGATGACTGTGCTCTAGTTGCTAATACGTTACAGCAATTGCAAGAAATGTTGAACATATATACATGGGCATACGAGGCCTTGGGACTTAAGCTGAATATCGATAAAACTAAAATCATGTGCACTTCCCCGGAAGATCACAACAATGCTATAAAAATCGGAGATGAACTGTTGGAATATGTAGCGGAATTCAATTACCTCAGCAGTTTGATTTCGGAAAGGGCCAATATCGACTCTGAAATTCAACACAGGATTAGCAGCGTCTCAAGAGCATTCTGGAAATTAAAAGACAGGGTTTTCTACAATCATGACTTGAGCACAAAAACGAAACTTGCGGTGTACCGAGCGATAATAATTCCCACCATGTTATATGGAAGCGAAACTTGGGTGCCGTACCGCCGACACATGAACGCATTAAAGCAAGTTGCAACAGAGACATCTTAAACAACTCTTAAGAATAAAATGGTTCCATCACGTCTCAAACGTATCGATCCTTCAAAAAGCTAACTGCGAGAGTATTGAAGTCATGATTACAAAGTCTGGTCACATATGCAGAATGCAAGAAAACCGCATACCAAAATCTCTGCTTTACGGTGAGCTTGTAGACGGTAAGAGGAGGCCAGGTGGACAATTCAAAGGGTTCAAGGATATTTTCCACGAAAACTTAAAGGGAATTAACAAGCAGAATGAGTGGAAAGAGGCAGCTCACAATAGAACGGAATGGAGAAAAATTGTAAAGTCAAATACTCGTCAGCGAGCAATGGCGGTATGTATGGTAGTTTTAGAGTTACAGGATGTTAAAACCTTTTAAAATTAGTTTTTTTTGTAATTATCTTTAATACCATTATTTTTTTTATTTAAAATTGCTGTAGGTTGGACTAATAGTAATATTATTTAATAATAAATTAGGTAGAATATATAATTTTTTAATTTTATTTTTATTTTAATTTTATTAATTGTGATTAATAAAATTGAGTTTATCTCATCAATGAGGCCGAATTCAACAAAATATCAAGAGATAACTTTATTGGTATTAAAAGGTTTACACTTTTTTAGCATCAAAATATGTAGTACTCATAGTAACTTTTACCCTCAAAATTTCATTCAAATCACTAAAAGTACTTGGAGGAAAATTATAATAAATCGAAAGATTATTAAGACTTTAACACCTTGTAGCTACGAAACAAAGCAGAATTGGACCTATTTTGATATGACAAGTAAATCTTATTTTTACGTGAGGAATGAATCTCCCCACGAGAGATGGCACATGTTTTTTGGAACACCCTGTATAAAAAGTCAGTTTAAAGCTATAATTAATTACAAGTTTAAACTAGAATAGTGAAACAGAAATTGAAAAATATGAAACATGTTCATTTTGATTTTGTAAAAACACAAAATCTTGACATATTTATGCTTTTCTTATTGGGTATTGATCAAAGCTAGCATTGAATTCACATTGTTTCTTTATAATAAAACCATACCACTAATACAGTATGAACAAAAAAATAGGACGTCAAAAATAGAGAATTTAATTAAAAAATAAAAGAGATATTTTATCTCGATAGATTTTTGGTTAATTGGAATGTTTGTGTTTACTGCACGAGAGAGAGAGACGTTTGTAGACTAGAATTTGTTATTTAGTTTGACCCTGAAACATTGCCTAGAATCATAAAATCAACGTTATTTGAACTAACAATGTGTTGTACTGCAGCTTACAACCTCAGTGATGATTATGTGTTTAATATAATATAGTAACTAAAATTAAAACATTGATAATAAAAGAACTATTACAGTTGAGGGTTGGAACCTTTGGTGTTACACAGCAAAATCAAAAAACACTAAATCACCACAATACACCAAAACACTTTTACTTTTACACTGGACGCGCGTTTCGCTAACCATGTTAGCATCATCAGCAGATGATTATAAACTCTAATGAGTTTATAAACCAAAAATGAGTTTATTTTTATTACCCTATTTTATTACCTAATGAGTTTATAAACCAAAAAACCAAATCAAACTCTAATGAGTTTATAATCATCTGCTGATGATGCTAACATGGTTAGCGAAACGCGCGTCCAGTGTAAATGTAAAAGTGTTTTGGTGTATTGTGGTGATTTAGTGTTTTTATTTTGCAATAAAAGAACTAAATTAAAAGAACTTTTTTTACTTTCTAGCTTACGGAACTCCGTTTGTTTCCAAGCAGCATTGCGATTGATTATTGTCCACCTGTGGCGCATTTCTCCATATTATACATGTCACCTAACAACTGAGTAATCGGAATTTCGCCGATAGTTTCTTTGAAAAACAGCAATTCGACAGTTATGGGTCTGATGGCTCTTAAACTAGGAACTAGTAGTAGTAGTCTTCCGAACCTGGTAGGTTGTCTGGGGTATCTCATTCTGACATAGTCACCCAAGATACACTGTGCTTGATCTTGAAGCATTTCTACTGGCTGGACATCACACAAACCGGCGGTTTCTATATAAAAAGGATTATATTAATTAAAATTACTTTTTTACTAAATCTCTCTAATTGATTCTTATAATAATACCAAACGATCGAAAAAAAAACGGCGTCAAAGACAACTGCTTAATGAGAATTGGGATATATTTTTCCACTTAATTGTCACGTGTCTTTCACGACATCTAATCAGCTACAGTGGCGGCTCGTGGTTATAAAATCAGGTGAAGAGTTTTTGGTGAGAGTAAAAATTTTTTTAAATTGCGCCGCAGGTGAAAATTTTTTTTGGCGCATTCACCATTTTGTCAACATTTTTTAAAATATTTGAAATTTTTTTTCTGCATTCACCATTTTGTCAACATTTTTTTTGTTATTATTTATACACTAATATCTATAATATTTTCGTTTTAGTTTGGGCTAAAACACATTAAGTAAAAAGAGATACAACCAGTTTTTGATAAACACATTATTTTGCAATCCAGTAAAAATATAATTAAATTTAAATTAAATATAATAAACATTATATACAGTGTCCCCCATAAAGTTGGATTCATATGGACGTTTTTTTTATATTAGAGTTTTAAAAAATCTTTTTGTGGCAATCACTTCTGCTTTGAAAACAACTTAAAATGCACCAAGTCAAAGTTGACAGCTAACATTTGGGAGCATACAAAATATTTAAAAGAAATTTTTAAAAATTGGTTAAATTATTATTATTTTAAAAAAGGTGACTAACAAAATTATGTTTCACCTTTGACTTGGTGCATTTTAAGTTGTTTTTAAAAGCAACATTGATTGCCACAAAAAGTTTTTTTTTAAACTCTAATACCAAAAAAAAACGTTCATATGGATTCAACTTTATGGCGAACACTATTTATTGAAGGGTTTCCCCGAAAAACGTTGTAACCGACATTTTTTTTCAAAATAGAGAATTCAGTGAAATAAGATTGTAATTTTCATAGGTATAACGTTTCAATTATTAGGACCCATTTAATTATTATTCAATTATTACATTAATTATTATTACATTAATGTTTACTAAGCAATATTAACCAAAATAAATTGACTTATTTATATTACTAACCTTACTAATTTTTGCAAATCAGCTCAATTTTTCATGTTTCAAATTGCACACCAAGTCATTGATTGGGTTCATTTTTTAACACATACAAAACAGTTTTAAAACACAACAACAAAACAAACAGCAAAAATCAACAAGTTAAATCAACGAAAACCATTAACAAACAACAATAAATAATCAACAAAAACTTTACAGTCTTTACATGGTTAATTACTCGCCGAAGTAGCCGAATATTAGCATAAAGGAAGACCAAGCGAACTGCCCAAAAACTCATTCACATCGGTCGCCGATAACAAATTTCGGGGCGGGGAATTTACATGCTGCCGCTAGGCTGACGTCACGTTACCATGGAAACCGTGCATCCGCTCGGCTCACAAATATTTTTTCTTTACTTGTGGCTTCGTGGAAACGTAGGCGCGTGCGGGCCAATAATGCTACTTTTTCGGCCGGAATTAACGATGCGGTGGATCTATTATGCAGAGGTCCACCCGAAAAAAAAATAATTTATAAAAAATTACCATTTTATTATTTAGATACATGTAAATATATTAAACTAAATTAATATTTTAAGCAGTAAAGTTTTTTCTCTAATTTGAGTATTTTTTTCGGTGAAGTGCCCCTTCACCTACTGCACCTGACGAGCCGCAACAGATCAGCTAATCAATTTTTTGAACGTTTAAATTAGGACAAACACAGACTTACACACACATTAAACATCCATGTCCAGAGCTGGATTCGAACCAGTAACCTTGCTTACTAGATAGCACTATTGCTCATGCATTTGTAGATGTTAGTAATTATGGCAATCGCTTCTTTAATTTTAAAGAACATAATATAAATAAATATAACATACGTAAGAATTAAAAACAAATTAAAAACAATAATACAGAAAGTTTGAAGCTTTTTGGTTTTACCTTATTAAGTAGTTATCAGGTAGTAATTGTTAATTTTGAAGTTTAACTTGATATAATGTCATTTTAACAGAACGTCAACGATTTTTGTAGACGTATCTGTTTAAAAAAAACTAAAGTGTTCTCGAATAGTTGCATTTAGATATTTTAAATTGTTTTTCTTTGTTCTTTGTATTTTTTTTGCTTCCGACGATGGAAAGAGATAAACTTTCCGAAACGCATTTTTAGTCCCTTAGGCAAATTTGTTTATCTGTAAAGCTAACTGCTGACAATTAGTCTCCGTTGGAGTAACGCAGCAGTATTTACAAAAAATAAATATTTTATTTTGTAGATTTTCTTGCAATGGCGAAATACCCATATAGGACTTTTTTGGAGAGATGAATCCGCCACATAGGTATGACATTTTTTGGCAATTTACTTGCCTCATACTCTTCTTCATTATTTAATGGCACTTACTGCCAGTTGGCCTTAGCAAGAAGGTTGTAATTTATTTTAATATTGAGTAAATATTATTTTTAAATGGTATAGTAATGTGTAAATGGTGTTTTTGTAATGGTGTATAATTGTAATATTATTTTTAAATTAGATCAAAATCGAGAAAAAAAAACGTTTTTTGCACGTGTCTCGAAATGTTCTATAAATATTTTAATCTTTTTACAAGTAGTGTTAAATTTTGACAAGTTTTATGTCAATTTTTAGTAATTGACCTCGCCAAAATTATCATCAATTTTCATTTTCAGCCATCTTTGACGCCGTTTTTTATCATACGGTACTTACGGCTAAAGTAACTAAAGTAATAATAATGCAATTATTATGCAATGTAGAGGAGTAAAACATTAGAAAACAGGTAAAACCTGTTACTATACAAGAAAAAACATGGAAGTATAAACAAAAAAAAAACGCTAATAACTAAAAAAAACGCTAAAAACCCTCGTAAAAAACAAAAAAAAATGTTTGTCCCTTGCGAATATTTCTTATTTATAACTGTTTTTTCTTGTTTATTAGCGCTATTTACTAGTTTATTAATATTTTACTCTACCACCATAATCAACCTTCTTAACTACTCTACTCCCATTTAAAAAAATAATAGTTTATACTAATAACTTTCATTCTTTACAGCGTATGATATTTTTGGTAATATGTTATTTAAAACTTAAAACACTATACCGTATGTTCCCGGATTGCCTTTACAAGAGGAAAAAAACTTTTTTATTATTGACATTTCGAGAACCACCAAAACGCCTTGTTTTTACTACAAAAATGCCTTTTGATTTTTGGGACTGTGACTAAAAATCAACCATATTTTCATGTTTTTTTTAATTTTCTCTATAACGGCATGGAAATTTGAAAAATATAAACGGCATTAAACATTTTAGAACAAGCTAATTTTTTTTGAAGAAGGCATTTTTCTGAAAATGTCAATAATAAAAAAGCTTCTCCTTTTGAAAAGACAATCCGGGGACCATACTGTATATATTAAACATACCTGGAGTAAATAGCAATATAGCTTTCATGCATCCACATTCACTTCCGTCTGGTGATATCTGTCGAAACCGACACATTATTTCCTGAAAAAAATGCTCATGAAAATAATGTTTAATAATTGTTAAAAATTATAAATTTCTTACTTGTATTGTTTTAATCTCTGTAGCTGTGTGAACGTCGTTTGGAAGCCTTTCTCTAGCTTGAGAGCAACCCAAAACAGTGGATAAATCCCACGGGACAGACCATTGGGCCAGATGTAATAAAAACAATTCTTTCCACGATTCTTGTAGTAGCAATAGCTGATCGTGTTTACTGAGCGTTTGGAATGGTGCTAAACAACGGACCCATCGAACTGCCATAAATAGAAGTCTAGCTGTTGTTTCCTATTAGAAGAAATAATTTGATTATAATGAGATGTAAGGTACCAGGTAGGTTTATAAAAAGAGTCTATATGATCGAAATATAAACGACGTCAAAGTTGTGCCGATCAGTGCCCTTATAATTTCAGTAAAATTACAGTAATCTTTCGTTTCAAATATCTGACCGTTTAATGTAAGACGTAGAAGGCAAAGGCCTATATATTTGTCGAACACCAAGTTTCACACTAAATATTGCGCAATTGATTATTCAATAAAGAATAATATGTATTAAGTAAAATACTTAACTAATTAAAACATATACAAATTATAAGTATACCGTGGGGTGCATCGGAACACGAGCACAAAATCCCATGTAAATTTTGAAAAGGTCAAATATTATCTCCCAAATGATTTTATGCAAAAGTTGGATTAGACTAGAATTTCGTTTTATTTGGAATAGTATAATTTAAAAGTTGTAATGTAAAAATCTACCTTCAAATTAGTAAATTTATAATACGGCCCAGAGAAATCTAAATTAAAATACCCTTAAAAATGTAATTGTGTCATTATCAAATTTGATGTCCCATTTGTTTTATAGTACCTTAGTACCTTCAAAAAAATTGAAGGTACTAAATAAATCATTTTGTATAAAATAATATGATTTTCAGAACTTCTGAAAAAGTTACGATAGTTAAACGGCATTTTGCTGAAAATAATATTTCCGCTGTGTTAGATTTGTTCGCAGCTCAGTCTCCGGAAACACTATACTACAAGTGCCTGTACCAAATAAGTCAACAGTTTAAAGAATAAACTAGGCAGAGATTTGAAACTAAAGGCACGGTATTAAGCACCTAGAAATGTGAAGACAAAAATAATTGAACAGGAAGAAAAAAACAATAACTTGAATATTCTTCATGTTGAAGAAAAGAAAATAATTGACTCTATTGACCGTCTATTGGGATAACAGTAGGAAAAGACCACAGGATCTTTCGCCGAACAACTTCTTCCTGTAGAGAACACTCAAAAACCGTTATTATGGACATACTAAATACAGAAATTTAGATCTAACGACATCTCTGTGGAATACTAAAGATGTATGTGGTATGAGCGACGCACAGTGTTCAAAATTGATGAAAACTTGATCAAAAATTAATTACGTGCAAACTGTGAAATCTATTGCATGAATTTAAACAAACTTTTTCATTAATTTTTTGACCCAGGTTTTTATTGCAAATAGTCTATAACTTGATCATATATCAATTATAACAGTATAAAAAACTAATCATCGAATCTCATATTGTTCTCGCCATCATTATCTTCATTGTCATTATGCTCATCAAATTTGAGTTCACGTTTCCCCTCACTCTATAAGGTCCAGCGAAAGGAAGCATGCTTTGGTCTATTTTCCTATAGACTTTTTTGGAGAAATAAAGAATAGCTCAGGAGTGGATCCGAGCTCAATATGAGTCTTCTGAACAAATCGTCATTAATTTTAAGCAGGGCTGATTTTTTGTTGTGGAACATTCCAGAATTTTAGTTGCTCTTGTGGGCGTGGTCATAGTTGCCTCTGTTACCAATTTTGAAGCAGAGACGTTTCCCTCTTCACGCAATTTCATGGACTCAGCAAATGATACTCGGCTGCTGTATTTTGCCGTCGAATTTTTTCAGTATTTCTACGTTTACTAACGTCCGAACTTTCTACAAATGTTTTTGACGGCCGACCTGCTATAATAATATAAAATGTTAGAATTTATCCCTATAGATAAATAATTATTTTGCATATTTACCTCCACTTGTAGATGCAGAATAATCAGGAACCGTAAGTTGTCGTTGACAATGAAACACTTCATCGGGAAAAATAACATCAACCTGTATAGCCAATCTGCATACCTAGACAAGAAATTTCTGTCTTTCCTCTGAGCCGCTTTCCATTTTGTTAAATATTACGGAAAAAACGATTGCCTCATGAAGTTATTGAGAGCGTTAGTTGCAATTTCATCTCCGTTTGTTTCAAAATGATCTTTTAAAAAGTCCAAAACATGAATTTTCTTCACAGAGAAATCTTGGCCAAGTATTTCCATCATTTTCTCATGTAGATGCAGACGTGTAATTGCCATCATGAATAAATGCCAAAAATAAACCAACAATATATTTCTTGACTTACTACACCGCAAAATAACACAAACTAAACTTGTGACTACACTGAACACCATATAATAAAAAACTAAATACTGGCCGCCCGGCCGCGTGTAAACATGTTTAGAACTCAGCGCAAATGAATCCGAATTGCAGCCTGAGGCGCACCTTTGCGCAGGTAAAACAAAATGTTCCTGAATTCCTTAGACTATAGGCTTTTATTTAATGTATAATTTATTGATGAGCAAGGACTAGCAATAAACATAACAGACCAATAAAATGACATTTCTTCAAAAACTGTGGTGGGTTATAGGCAGCGAATTATGCCTGAGAGGAAAAGCGACCTTCATTATAGTATTTAGGTTATTTAAATCCTTAAAATATGTACTTTTTTCTGATATAATTACATTTCCATGAAAAATTTGACTTGCAGCGGATAAAAAAGAAAACATTTTAATGCCAAAATATGCTGTATAAAATTAATATTATTTTTTAGCTTTTGCTCATAAAGATATTCAGTCATGATAAAGCCATTAGCAATGCTTTGTTAAAAGTTGTAAAAATGACGTAAAGAAACATATACATAAGTTTGACGATTCTCAACATAACTAAAATTTTCAATTTCGTTTTTTGCAAATTTTGAACACTGTTGCGACGCCTCGTGAATGATCCGAGGTAATGAACAGCAATCAAGTCACATACTCCGCGTCCTTCCCCAGTTCAATTAATTCTTTTGTAGATGTTCATTCGAATTCATGAAAAGATAAACATCCTTTCAATTCCCCATAAATTCTTGTAAACAGAAAAGTGACATCGAATTTGACAATGACAAAAACATACTTTTGCTATATTTGTAGCTTTCTCTGGGCCGTATTATACATTTTTAGTAATTTAGTTGAAGGTAGATTTCCACTTGCAAATAAATTTTAGATGCCTATTCCAAATAAAACGAAATTCTCTAGACGTAAACTATAACGCTCTTCAAGAAAGTCTAATACACTTTTGCTAACTAAATTTTACTTTTGCATAAAATCATCTGGGGCGATAATATTGACGTTTTAAAAATTGCATGGGATTTCCTATGTCCCGTTTTCCGATACACCACACGGTATATAGATTATAAAAAACTGCAAGTCGCACAACGCTCAATAGAACGAAATATAATGGGAATAACCACGGGGGTGTCACTTATAGGAAAACAGGCAACAGTCAAATTAAACGTGCCAGGATAAACGACAAAGAAAGCAACATTTGCCAGGCATTGGCTTTCTTTGTCACTCACATTGCTTAAATCATGATACCGCGGCCATTTTGTCAACAAAGAAGCTGGCCGGCTGTCCTGGCAAGTGATTTAAAACAATTTTGCTTTTTACAATATTAAATTACCATTTGGATGTATTTAATGCGATTATTCAATTAACTGGTAAGTCAGAAATTACACACAAATACTTTATTCGTAAATACAACTAAGATGTAAACGTAGTTTTGTATTTTTAGATTTCAACTTTTGCAAAGACCCGCCGATAGAACTTGCCTGGCAGCGTACCTGTTTAACTAAACGTATTATTTCCTGATAATAATATCAAAACACGTAAGTACCTCTATAATTTATGATGACAAATGATTTTGATTATGTTTTATGTTATTTAAATACTTTCTAACCTCAAATAATAGTAAGATCCTTGTTTATATCGCACAGCCCGTTCAAAACTGTATTGTCTTCAAAAAATGTTTACAAAACAAACAATTATTACAAAAACAATGTCCTTTTAATCTGATTTATACCTCAGAAGGATGCCAGTAAAATTTTATTAAATCAACATTATATTATTTGGCCATTAATATCCAAAAAGGAGCATATTGCCTTAACTTAAATTTTCTTTTACTTCTCTTGACAATGTTCTCTATATTCTCTATTTTGAGTTAGTAAACTTTTGAACGGGATGTGCGATATATAAAATACATAATATATCCAAGGGTATGATCTGATAAAAGTATTTTTTGATGCATTTTTTGGTTTTTTATGCACGTTGGCTTGGTTTATGTTTTATTCAGCTTATATTTATTTGGTATAACAGTTTTTTTTGCCTTTGGAATGGCATGCATTGAGGCTAGATAGTGTTTCATTAGACCATTAAAGAAATTTAAATTAGCATATATTTTTTGTGATGTTAGTGTGTTATCATGATACAGGTAGTTGTATCATAGTGCCTTATGCATGTTATTTACCTATTATATACTTATGTATTATCAGTAAATAGATGATAATATACTACTAAAATGTCTTTTTAATAGTATGTTTATCTGTCCAATTCACTAGTTATTTGCAAAATGTATTTTGAACTAATTTAAGTCATTAATTGATCATCTTTCTTTTTCAGGTTCCGGGATATTCTTTTTCATTGTTAAAAAATATATATATTTCAATATTATTGTAATATAAATCGCAGCTCTAAAAAATAAATGATATTGTTTACTAACGTTAATAATTTATTTACTATGAATTTTCTCTTGAAAAACAATAAGTCTTTAATAATATTTCATTGATTTGTTGTGTAAAATTACTAGACACATATTTTGTATCACATTAAATTATATTAAAGTAATACACTTTTTGCTACAACTAAATTTTACGTTTGCATAACTTGAAGTCAGTAATACTTATAAAAATATTTTTTTTTAAATTTCCCCTCTTTTAAGCCCCGCCCCTCCAATTCCCCTCAAATTAGTTAGTACTGCCAGGCGACACCAGGTGGCGTCTGTTTCCATTTTTTAACATGAAGTTAGCATTTCTTTAATGTACCTATTCTCTGGGAATAACCAAGAAAAACCGTAAATGAATAGAGTGGATACGACCCAGATAATTAATGTCATCCACAAAATCCAAT